TCAAAGAGAGAGTACCAACGTTGATCTTGCTTTGGAAAAAGATGAAATTGTGAAATTTAGGGCTACCAATGGCTCTTTTGAGTTTAAAATTTGGGGAAGATGATGTAAATTAATTAAATAATTAATAATAAAGAAACAAAGCGGCACGTGGCACTTTTAAACTGGTTAATGGCAGTAAAAACACTGCATCACGCGCCTCATGTGCGTGGTAACAACCCAGACAAGGAAATGGGTCAAAATGGCCCATTTACAAAGATATTAAAAAGTTTTGTGGGGGTGATAGGACACTTCCAAAGTTAAGGTGTCTTTATGCAAATACGGGACAATTTCAGTGGTGATTTTATGTCTTTTCTCTTAGACGAACATCATTTGTCGGAAAATTATTCAATATATGTGTTGGTTAAACATTTGTATATATTAAAATTTTGAATATCTTTAAATTAAAGAAATATTGAATTTCCTATTTGTGGTACCTACAATAATAACTAGATGTGTGACATACTTTTTATTACGAGAAAGCAAGATCTTTTGATCAGTTTATATAAATTAAATAGAACAAAATGACTTTTTCAGATTTCTTGTATATGAAAACTAAGTAGTATTATACATATATAGTTGATCTTCAATTAGTAATTTGGTGACCAAACTTGTATATTCCAACTTCAAGTGACACTTGAAACTTTGAAGAGCTACGATCAACATATTTTAATTCTAGTCGAAATGGTACGTTGACTAGTGAATAGAAAAAAAAAGTTAGTTGATAATTAAGGTCTTATATATATGGTGTGCAGATTTACAAGCATTATCAATGAGTGATGATCGATGCATGGTCCCTATATTAATATGGATATGTCCCAAGTCCCACTCTTTCATTTTCTACTACTACTAATAATAGTGCATGTTTTAATTAATTGGTGAACAGGGACGGCTCAAACTCGTTGGTGGCCTAAGGCCAAAATCAAAAGAAATAGAAGAGAGGAAGAGATGAGGATAGAATATATAAAAATAAAATTAGAAAAAAAAAAGTAAAAAAAAGAAGAAGATAACTTGTACATTAAAAAAAAAGTACACAACTTTTTATTGAAAAGGTAAAAAATATTTGTCATATCTATCACTTCATTAATGTCATTTGCATTTGTTGTCTTAGTTCTAAATTTTATTTATTTATTTTTAGTTTAATCCTACCTAATTAACTTAAAATTAACTAAAAAATGGGGCCCCTAAAATTGGGAGCCTAAAGCCAATGACTTTTTCTTTTAACACTACATATATATATATATATATATATATATATAGTGTTTCACTGACAACGAATGCTAGTTAATTTCGTATATGTATGTCTGATGGATAGAGTTAATAATTACGATACTTGTCATTGATAGGACTTAGGAGGTGATAAGTGTCTTGTGAAATTATTAGTTGAGATGTGCATAAATTGATCTAAACATCATAATATAATAAAAAGAAAATATATTGTATATAATTTTAAAAAGACGGTATATATAG